GGCGACAGCCAGGCAGGCCCCTCCCTGGGGCCACGCGCCGGCACAGCTGGACCTGAGCCTGTCCTGGACCCTCGCTGCCCCCCGCAGACCCTTGCTCAGATCCCCTTCTGTCCCAGACACCAGGGCCCGAGAGAAATGTCAGGGGCGGAGGGTGTGGCCATGGAGACAGAAATTTGAATTTCACAGTATTTCCCTGTGTTACAAAATCTCTCCCTCTTTTTCAAAGTTCAGAAATGTAAAATCTGTTCCTAGCTCACGATGGGCCGGAGGCGCAGGCCGGGGTGCGTTTGGCCTGCAGGCCGTTTGCTGAGTCCCGACTTCTCCCAGTGAGGACAGGCTCAGACGCGTCCTGCCGGGGAAGCTGCCTCCGGGTCTCCGCGGCCTGGCACCTCCACAGCGGCCAGCTGCCCGCCCCCGAAATAATGTCCTGATTGGCCAAGCCGCCTGCCACTCAAGAGTCACCTTGCCCTTCTTGTTTCAGCGTGGGAACCACTGCGTCTTGCTTGGTACCCAGGGGCCTGGCTCCGCCCTCTCTGCTCCACCTTCTGGTGACCTGGGGCAAGTCGTTCACTTTCAGGGCCTCAGTTTACCCACAGGGTACTGAGGGCTCAGCCCACTGCAGGAAACAAAAGTGCGAGCTGGGAAGAAACAGCAGCGGTTGCCCGATTGGGACTCTAGGCGAATGCCAAACCCCCGGCCTGCCCTGGACATGGGCCAGCGCCGTCCAGGCTGGGAGCTGGGCCACGGGCTTCCCAGCTGCCTCCCTGTCCCCAAACAAGGGCCCCTTTGAGCACCTCACTGGATAAAAAAACCTGGCCATTCCCACGGGTCCCTTTCTGAGGTCCTGGTTAGCAAGGCAGGAAGGAGCACGATTTTGTGTGAGTACCGCCAAAAGGGGCGGGCTCCTCGGTAGACAGCAGTGTGCAGGGTAGGACAGGATGCAGCCGCCCTGCTCTCCCTGTCCCCCTGCCTGTGGCTGCTCCTCCCCCACCCCAGCCACCGCTGTCCCCACAGCTGTCCTCCCCAGCTGTCCTGCCCAGCTGTTCCCTTCACCCCAGGAGCAGAGAGCAACTTGCTTCTCTTGTCCCCTCTCCTGGGACCTTCTGCAGGCTCCAGCAAGGGCTGTGTCATGACACAAGCACAGCTGGTGTCACCCTGGGCAACTGCAAAAACTCAGAAACCACTGGGTGTCCCATCTTAGAGCACTGAGCACATATTTTGTGGCCGCCTGTATCTGGGTTTTTGTTGTTTTTGCATTTTTGAGACAGGGTCTTGCAATGTGGTTCAGGCTGGTCTTGCACTTATTACATAGCCTAGGCTGGCCTCAAATTCAAAGCAACCCTCCTGCCTCAGCCTCCCAAATGCTAGGATTACAGGCATGTGCCATCATGCCCAACCGTATATCTGCGGTTTTAACTTGAGGTCATTGGGGTTCCAGAAATTGTTGCAAAATGCCTACACGTGAATTTTCTGGGAGACTCCGTGACCCCCCCCCCCGGCAAATGTTAATAAGTACCGATCAGCAAGAGCATGTAGATTTATGTACTAAGTCAGCTAGTCAGCAGACAGAGACTGTGGTAGAAGGAAAACAGCAGGCTGTGCAGGATGAGCCAAGTGTGGTTTAAAACTATTGGTTTTACACACACACACACACACACACACACACACACACACAGGAAGTGTAGCTACTTAAGGAAAAGTTTTATCTCTGGTGAGATAACAATTTTTGTTTGATTTGTGGTTTTCTGTGTTTATTAAATGCATACTTAGTTCCTTCATTCTGAGAAGCCAGGCCTCCTTTGGGGGTTTCCCTCCGCCATCCCTGACTTCCTGGCCTTGTGATGCTGACCAACTTCCAAAGCCGAGGTGCAGGGCAAGGCCTCCCCCACAGTCCTGTTCCCCCGCTGTGGCTGACTCTGACCCTGGCGGCTGGGAGCAGGGGCCGCGCTTCTCCTGGCTGTGGCTTTACACCAGTCCCCTGGCCTCACTGAGCCTCCGTGGCCCAGCGACCATGTGACCCGCTTTCTGAGGGCAAACTGAGATGATTTGGGGCTCGGGGTCCCCGCGTGGGCTCCCTGGCTCCACGCCCTGACCCCCACCTTCTCTCCCCTCCCCAGGGAGCTCCAGGCCCAGCAGCATGGGGGAGGCCTGCATCAAAGTGACCAAGTACTTCCTCTTCCTCTTCAACCTGCTCTTCTTCGTAAGTATGGTCTGGAGCCGCCTGGGCCCAGGCTTCTGCCAGAGGGGGGCCCCGTAGCACTTCTGGAGCTGGTTTTCCTGGGGCCTCAGTTTTCCCCTTTGACCTGGCAGGCACTGCCTGACTCCGCCTGCAGCTGCTAGGCTGCCGATGGTGTGTGTGTGTGTAAGTGGGGGCATCAGCAGCGTGCAGGGCCCTCGTGGACCCGAGCGTGTTGTGACTTTGGCTTCTCCGTCTCTCCGTTCACCCTAAACTGTTAAAAATCAGGTCATCTAGTGCAATGTTTATCATGATCCAGTTTCATTTTTTACATGCATAGATTCATAAAAATGTGGATATTTTTGAGAGAAGAAAATATCTGTGTTCATTTAGGAGTCCCTGGGAATTGAGATTTTATTTCTGTTTGTGTGTGTGTGTGTGTGTGTGTGTGTGTGTGTGTGTGTGTGTGTTGGTTTTGAGACAGGATCTCACTATGTAACCCAAGCTGGCCTCAAACTACTGGTGATCCTCCTGTCTCAGCCTCTCAAGTGCTGGGATTACAGGCATTTGACACCATACTTGGCTTGTTCTTTATCCTTCTCTGGAATAGAAATTTTCTGTAGCAGATAAGAATTACTTGGGGGGGTACATGTCAAGTTATACAGGATTATAAGAAATTTAAAAAATAAAGACAAGAATCACTCAAAATTTCCCATGATGGTTTGCTTGGCTGGGTGTGGTGGCACAGTTCTCAGGAGGCTGAGGCAGGAGGATTGCCCTGAGTTCCAGGCCAGCCATGGTTACATAGTGAGTTTGAGGCTAGGCTGAACTGCATAGTGAGATCCTGTCTCAAAAAAAAAGCTGAAAAAGTGTTCTGGCACATGCATGTGCGCACACACACACACACACACACACACACACACACAGGGCCAGGCCTTGAGCAGTGTATTCTGTCTGTTGACCCTGGCCTCCCCTGGCTTGGTGGTCAGGCGCTGGCTTGGCCTCTGAGAGCAGCTGCCCGTGGAGAAGCCAAGCTGGCCCTGGTGGACCCCTGGTTCCGGCCGGGGTTGGGGTGGAGCCACGTGGAATGGCCTGGGCCTCGGGATGGAGAGAGGGGTCGGACTTCCTGGGAGACCTGGAGCTTGGGGTTCAGGAGCACAGATGCTGGGCCCTGAGTTAGGGTTAGGGTTAGCGAGCGGGGTGTGGTCTGGTCGGGGTCCCTTCCCACCCCTGCTCCCCACAGAGCAGGCCTCCTCCCAGCTCCTTTAGAGGGCGCTCAGGGTGGGGCTCAGGGAAAGGAGAGAGCAGGAGACAACGCAGTCACTCCGCTCCTGTGTTTGGGGAGCCTCTTCTGTCCACGGTCTCCATGTCTGCTGACCCAACCAAGTATAAAACACAGGGGTTTTTGTTGTTTGTTTTGGAGATAAAAGCTCACTATGTATTCTAGGATGCCCTTGAACTCTTGGCGGCCCTCCTGCCTCAGCCTCCCAAGTGCTAGGATCACCACGGGTGTGGGCCACCACACCCAGTCGAAAATACTTAAGAAATTTTGTCTGCACTGATCATGGACAGACATTTTTCATACAGTTTCTTCCTGAGCAATGCAGCAAAGCCCTTATTTACGGAACATTTATGTCGTGCCAGATACAAACAACCTACCAATAGGCCTGGGATTTAGCTCAGTGGTTCCACTGCCCACCTCGCAAGTGCAAGGTCTGGAGTTTGATCCCTGGTACCAAAAAAAAAAAAAAAAACCTACAGATGGTGAAAAGTGTAGGGAAGACTGTGCCATTTTGTCCTAGGAACTGGCGTATCCCTGGATTTGGGACCCCAGACAGTGACACCCGAGCTTCCTGTGGTGACAGGCCTGGCTGTCTGGGACCAGGTGGGGTCCCCGCACTTTGCAGGGTGACGGGATGGGATTTGTGGCTTCCTCCCTGCTTCTGACCGGTGCCCCATGGCTGCTTGGGCCACTTTTCTCAGGACCGGTGACATCCAGAGGTGGCCAGTGTCCCATCAGGGCTGGGGGTTGGTGGATGTGGGGAGCTCCCAGCCCAGTCCTGGCTCACAGAAAAGGTATGCCAGGTGCTGCCTGCCCCTGAAGGCTGCTGGAGGGGCTTCCTCCCTGGCTGCCCCAAGGCCTGGTGGCCCAGCAGGCTGCACTGCACCTGCCAGTCGCACGGAGGTCATCAGCTTCAGGGGGTGGCTGGCAGCCTCTTGGCGATCTAAGGACTTGAGGTCATGTTTGCCCACAGGGTGTTTTCCGCCTTGCCCCCCAGCCCTCTGGAGAAGCTGTTCCCCGCCTTCCCAGATGGGTGTAGCAAGGCCTCTGGCCAGGGCGGGGGTGCCATTCCCAGGCAGAGGAGAGTGAGGTGAACCCATCTCAAAGGTGGCCCAAGGCAAAAGGAAAGTCCCAGACCAGCATAGTGGTACACACCTATAATCCCAGCACTCTGGGAGGCTGAGGCAGGAGGATTGAAAGTTCTAGCTCAGCCTAGGCAATTTAGGGACTTAACAAAACTCTGTCTCAAAATAAAAGTGAAAAGGGGCTAGGGATGTAGCGATGTAGCTCAGTGTAAATGCACTGGATTCAACCATCAATGCCAAAAAAAAGAAAGAAAAGAAAAGAAAGAAAGAAAGAAGTCCATGATTCAAATTGTGTGGAAATTTTATTCATTCATCGTAGATTTTTCATTTGTATTTAGTTAGTTGGTCTTTCTGAGACAAGGTCTCATTCTATCGTTAGGCCTGGCCTTGAACTCACCACTGTGTAGCCCAGAGTGGCCTCTCTGTGACTTGTGGTGATCCTCCTGCCTCAGCCTCCTGAGGTCTGGGACCACAGGCATCTGCCACTATGCCCAGTGATTCATTTATTTTTAAAGTATTTGCTCATCTTGATAACTGAGCTTGCACTTTGCCCAAGGGAGGCCCTGACCCAGGACGTTACGGGCAACAGAAAAAGGCAGGGGCAGCTGTGGGCCTTGGACTGGACCAGAGGTGAGGGATTCCCAGGGGAGGTGGAGCCCAGGGCTGGTGACAGAGATGGGACCCTGCCTGTGGCATAGCCAGCCCTGAGCGGCGACATTCCTGGGTTACGGGGCCTCCCCAGCTGAGCGTCCTGGTGTCACGGGTCTGGGCAGGTACGCGTGGAAGGCTGAACTTGGGGGGACCTGGCCGGATGGAAGTCCCCGCCCACCCGGTCACCCTGCGTGCATCCCCTCCCTCCCTCCCTTTTCCGCTCCCTCCTTCCCCTCTGGATTTTGGAGTTCGAGGCCAGCCTGAGCTACTCAGCAAGACCCTGTCTCCAAAAAGGAAAAGGAAAGAGGCAGAGGCCCCTGAGGTCGCAGCCCACTGACCGCCCCCTCCCTGCAGGTCCTGGGCGCCGTGATCCTGGGCTTCGGGGTGTGGATCCTGGCCGACGGCTCCAGCTTCATCAACGTGCTTCGTAAGCCCGGGGCCGATGGGGCGTGGGAGAGCTGGGTCCGGTCCCCTCGGCCAAGCGAGCTGACCTGGGCCCGGGGTCCGGGGCTGCACGGCGGTCACTGTGTCTCACATCCAGCTGTCCTCCCCCCACGGCTCCGCCCAGGAGAAACAGCGAGCCCCAGCACTCAGGAGGCTGAGGCGGGAGGATCGCAGGGAGTTGGGGGCCAGCCTGGGCCGTGTAGTGAGACCTTGTCCCAAACAGATGGAGGCTCTGAGAGGTAAAGTTACTCGTGGCTGCCTTGGTCCTCAGCATGCACACACACATCAGGGTGAGCGCCCTGACCACAAAGGAGCCTGAGAGCGGACCTGGCCCTTCCGGTCCCCGGGCGGCTCCTCCAGGAAGCCTTCCAGGACTGCTGAACGCAGATGCCCTGCCCTGCCGAGGGCGGCCTTGGCTCCCTGGCCCCCAGCAGCTGCAGGAGACACCTGTCACCTCCTGCCCTGGGGGAGGAGGAACCAGGCGACCGCCCTCGGCCAGGCTGTTGGTCCTTTTCCCTGGGTCCATTTCCTGCCTCAGCCTCCACACTCTCCAGGCAAGAGGCACCCTCTTCTGTGCTAGTCAGGCCTCATCCACACCCATCAGGCGCTGCACCCTGGGCCAAGTCTGACAGTGTGGAGCTGGCACTGTGTGTGTGTGTGTGTGTGTCACCCCTAGCCCTTTTTAGTTTTTATTCTGAGACTAGGTCTCCGAAGTCACTACTAAATGGCCCAGGCTGAGCTTGGTATTTAGACCCTCCTGCCTCAGCCTCCCAGAGTGCTAGGATTACAGGTGACCCCACCACACCCTGCTCAGGTTGGGTGGGGCCTGAGTGCTGGGGTCACTTAACACCCTTGGAGCAGTCCTCAGCCAGCCAGGGCTCAGAAACTCTGACCCACTGGCCCGCACTGTACATTGGGGTAAACTGAGGCAGGGAGCATCACAGCCACCTAAGAGTTGCACAGCTGTGGACTCAGCACTGGGAGCCAGGGCACTTTCTTGGCCTCAATTTCCTCATCTGTGCCCTCAGCCTGTGTCCTTAGTGGAACCACTCATGCTGCCCCTATGATGCTGGGCACTGCTCCGCCAGCTGGGGGCGGGGGCAGGAAAGACCTTCACCCCTTGCAGCTGCATCCTTGGAGCGGTGGGAGCAGAAATGAGCAAGAAGAATCAGTAAGGAGTAGAACACACTTGGTCCTGATAGGTGCAGAAGAGAAAACTAAAGTAGGCTGCAGGCCAGGCTGGATCAGGGTGAGGTGTATGTCCTCTCGTGAGGACATACAGAGAGGGCAGCCCCCAAGGGGTGCAGGAGGCTGCTCCCTGAGGGGTCACCCCAGGTCAGACAGGGTCTTGCTATGTAGCCCAGGCTGGTCTTGAACTCATGGGGATCCTCCTGCCTCAGCCTCCGGATCACAGGTGTGTGACATGGGGCCCAGCCACCCCTGCCAGCTTTGACCCTGGCAACACTGCCCTCAGTGAGCCTTGTCCCCTCCTTGCTCCTAGAAACCTCCTACAGCTCCCTGCAGGTGGGCGCCTACGTCTTCATCGGCGTGGGTGCGGTCACCATGGTCATGGGCTTCCTGGGCTGCATCGGGGCCATCAATGAAGTCCGCTGCCTGCTGGGGCTGGTGAGTCGGCCCTTCTGGGCAGGGGGCAGGGCCTGGAGCGGAGGGAGGGGCTTGGAGGGGCCTAACGATGACCTCTGCCCTCTCTACCCAGTACTTCGCCTTTCTCCTGCTCATCCTCATTGCGCAGGTGGTGGCTGGGACCCTCTTCTATTTCAATGTGGGCAAGGTGAGTCCCCCACACACACTGGGCAGGGCACCTCAGGGACAGGAAGCCACTCTGGTGTCACAGACACCAGAACTGTGGAGAACACGGGGGACTGCAACCTGGTTTGGAAGTTCAGAGACCCTGGCTTCGAGTCTTCTTACCCCCATGATGGCTTTTAAGCAGTATGTCACTCACCTCATGGTTACAAGGTGGCTGCCACAGCACCAGCCTGAGAAGTGAGTGTCCAGCTTTTAAACCCTAAAGACAGAAGCACAGGAGGGAAAGGAGCAGGAAGGGCTGCTGGGACATGTGACTGTCCCAGAGATCATTTACGGGACCTGCCGTGTGCACATGGCATCTTCTGAAGCCTTAGGGATATGTGAGAGCTACGGCATGGAAGAGGTTAAGCAACTTGCCCAAGGTCACACAGCTTGGAAGTAGCAGAAATGAAATTGGAACTGAAGCATCCTGGCTTCTGGGTCCGTGCTGCTAACGTACATGGTGTCCTTCTCACCAAAATCCAGCGTCCTTGCTTATAATCCATACCCAGCCTGTTCTCCAGAACTGGAGCTGGTTCCTAACAGGGCAACTAAAACCAAAATGAGAGACAACAGAAGTCATGCTGAGAGGAGTACTCTTTTCCCTGATTTGAGTCTTGAGTTTCCTGGCAGCCAAAGCAAAAGAGGAAATGGTGGATTTTGTAGAGGAGAGGAAGTTCACCTGGCTGTGAGACAGACAGGAAGCCAGTGGTTAGGGGACCGAAACTCCCCTCCAGGAGGCACCAAGTTTCAGTGCATACAGGGTTCCCAGGGGACGAAGTAGCCATGGGAACACCCTGACCCAGCCTTGGTTTCCCCAGGAGCATCACGGTGGGGGCTGCGAGAGCAGAAACGGGCCGGCCCATTGTGCCACCCGAGGGCCATCACAAGGGGCGCTGTGACATCTTTCAGAGCGGGGAGAGAGGGGATGGGTTCCGGAGGGGAGGGTCAGGGACATGGGCGGGCCTCAGGTGTTCAAACCATACTTGTGCTGGGCAGAGGGACTGGACTGGCCTTGGGCACGGGGTGGGGGCAGGAGCTAAAGCCAGTGGGAGGCGTCACAGGGCACAGCTCCGGGTGAATTCTGTCGAGAGCCCGGCCTGAGTAGGCAGTGTGCGAGGTCCTGAGGCCCCTGTCCCTGGGACCGTGCAAGCAGAGGTCAGAGAGCGCTGCCAGGAGCCTCGCATCTGCACGGTGCGCTGGGCTCGGGGCCTCTGGGTTGCACTGTGTGAAGAGTTTCACTGCAGGGTGAACGGAGAGCTCAGGCCCGCGGTCAGAGTGAGCCCCTCGGGCGGGCCGGCAGTGGTGGGCAGTGGCTGCCTCAGGGCCCTGGAGCCAGCGGGGCTGGGTCTGCCACGTTGCTGCTGCTGGCCAGCTGTGACCAGGGCCTTCGGACTGAGCTATCTCTGGCCCTTTTTATTTGGAGACAGCGTCTGGCCAAGTCGATAAGTTGCCCTGGCCGGGCTCCAACTTGCCATCCTCCCGCCTCAGCCTCCCAGAGAGCTGAGATCACAGATGTGCACCGCCGAGCCAGGCCCTTAATAATTTTGAAAGCAGGGCCTGCATCTGCCCACCTGGGCTGACGATCGGCTAGCGCCGGGCCGGCTCCTGACCGCCTGGGTCGCGGTCACCCAGCTGAGCCTGCCCAGGTGCCCTGTGGGCCGCTTCTCCGAGGTCCTCACCCTCAGAGGACAGGGTGGGTCGCACAGCACAGCGGCCAGGGACAGAGCCTTTGGGGTGCAGGGAGCCGCGGCGCCCGCTCCGCCTAGCGGCCTCCCGGTTGCCAGGGTGACCGTCCCTGGCGTCCCGACGCGGGTCCCCAAGGCCGAGGCCTGCAGTGTGGGATGAAATTGCCTAA